AGGTCCATCAAAGTCTAACGTCTCATGTCTTCGGAGCGCACAATACCTGTTCAATCTTCGTCGCAGGGACCAATACTTTTTCGTTGCTGGAAGGACCCCTCTGCAAAAAGTTGTCTGTGGGTTTAGTGGAATACCCAACTTGATTTCCCAAAAAGTCAAAGTCTAAAGATCCAACCCAATAGCAGCCAAGAATACACGCCACACAGACTCATGGCTGAAAACCTGAACTGCTCAGAAAGATTGGCTCCCAATTGATTCCTCCTCTGCTGCCGAAATGGATCCATCCCCTTCCAGTTTGGAAGGGATTTCCATGACGTGCACCGTTTACATCAGGCTTCCTTGGCACCTGCTTACTGGGGCAAGAACAGTCCTGGAGATCAGTGGATACCTGCGGGCTATATACCAACCATCTCAACCTCCTTCCATGTATTCAACTTATCCATTTTTGATTAAACATGATTTAACATATGTCTACACACAAGTCAATGCAACAGTCTTAGCCTGAATGAAGAAACTTACCGAGTTGGAGGACAAATAGTAGATTGTGCGAATACTAGCCTTGATGGGCAACGGCTTGTTTCATGCATTCGAGAAACACACGCATTACAAGTTATTTGTTGTCTTCTTTTGATTGTGAGTATTGGCAAAACAGGAGTCTGTGAGCAAAATCAAAAGATGCATGATAAAAGCAGTGTCAGGGATTATGTTGTCACGTTGACTGATATACAATGCTACAGCCTGACCTAAATACAAATACTGTCGAAAGAATCTGTCGAAAGACTAACATAGGCATCGACGTCTTCCTCATGTTGCGCGGTATGCACGTCTTGGTGTGCAGTACGCAGAAGTATCTCTTTGTCCGTCTGTCTGTCTGTCTGTCTCCGTCTGTGTCTGTGTCTGTGTCTCGTCTGCGTCTTTGTCTGTGTCTGTGTGTCTATGTCCGTGTGTCTGTATGTCTGTGTCTCTGTCTGTCTGTCTGTCTGTCTGTGTGTGTGTGTGTGTCTGTCTGTCTGTCTGTCTGTCTGTCTGTCTGTCTGTGTGTGTCTGTGTGTGTGTGTCTGCGTGTCCCTCTGTGTCACTGTGTGCCTGTGTGTATGTGTCTCTGTGTGTCTCTGTGTGTCTGTGTGTGTCTGTGTGCTTGTGTATGGCTGGCATTAGGACCCCAGCAAAAAGCTATGTGTTTTTTGCCTGGTTTGTGGAAAACAAAGGGAACCCAAAAATAGCATGTCTGTCTGTCTGTCTGTGTCTGTCCGCGTGCGTGCTTTCGTGCCTACGCTAAATCATAGAAGAGCACGCAAACATCTCTCTAGGGGTACCTTCCCCATTCTTTCCGGGGATCCTTCTTTCTAGAAAACCTCCAAAACCCCAGGCCAAGCGGATCCGGTTTTTGGAAAGAACCATGGTTGAAAAGAATGGGGAATCAACCCCTAGAAGTTCACTGCCATTGCGGAAGCAAACAGCTGTTTACTAAAGGTTGGTCCGGAGAATCTGAGACTGGCGTTTGCAAAACACGCGTCGGCTGCCCTCAAGCCCCAGTAAGTGGTGCAGCTATTCTTTCGCGAGCGCTAACTGCCTCCTCCAAATTGCAGGCAATTGCATTGCCAAACCATGCTAAACCATGGTACAGTTGGGAGAAACAAAAAACAACATGCCGGTGCCCAGCATGAGAAATCACAACGCACACAAACATTGACGGCAGTACTCACCTGACCAAATGACCCTAGGAAGCAATATAAACATGTTGGACCTAGAAGGAAAATGGACACCCAAAAAAATCCAAGGTCGGCTTTGCTGAGAACACAGTTTCAGCCAACAAGATTCACTGGAAAAGTGCGGGCCGCGCATCGAATTCCTTCATGCACGCCTGTCGCCATGGCTGGGACTCTGGAGAACCACCTGAGTTACAATCACCAGCCGGTACAAAAATGGTTTACCCAGAACCATGCTTCAACAATTAAGAAGGCGGATATCCGCAGCTATTTATGGCAAGGGGATCGTCTCTGACCTTCACCTACCCGAGTTTTAATTGACTCTGGCCTGTCTCAGCTTTAAGGTATCTATCCCCACTGACTTGAATCAGAGGCAAACTGAAACCAGACCCCGAAAGAAGGAAGACATCTGGTCTCCTCTGTTGCAACAATTGCGTTCGTTGATCCTGGTTGACGTTGGAAGGGGAGAAACAGTTCTGACACATGGGGGTGGGATGACCATTGGGGAAAACCATTAAAGATATGATAATACGCAAACCTTGCGGCGCTGACACATGGGGTGGGATGACCAGTGGGGAAAACTCTCAAAGAGATGATCATGGGAGAGGTTACGCATGGTCATTTGGGACCAGGCATATTGATCAACACACATGCGCTAACTTGCAAGAGCCTGCCAGCCTGGCAATTGAAATGGCTGGGCGCCCTATTCACATGCGGTGAAACACTGGCTGCAGGAATGAACTGGATATTGATTCCAATCTCCATGGTCAGGCGCACAGCGGCAGCTGCAGTAAGCAAGCACCAAAGCCGTGTCGGCAAAGTGTGCAACCTACCACAGCAAGTTGAAAAGAGTCTTTTAAAAGGTAAGTGTTCCGCCAGAAGCATGTCACTACAGCGCCGCCGTGGCATGTTTTTGGACTTTTGGCAGGCAAACCATGCTTGTAACAACCGAGCTGGGGCAAGGCCACCGGACTCAGACCGAGGCTGCCGCGCTGCTAGCCCTTTCGAGATGCCTCTGCACGGAGGATCTCCTGGCACGTTGCCAGGTCTTGGGGCAGCCAGATACCTTAGCTGGTTTTAGGACCCCGTTTTGGCCTGACGTTTTGGAGCGCGCCCAAAGAAAAACTAGGTCCTCCAGTAGAGAGGTTGGAATAAGGGTACCCTTTTTTTTCTGTAGTCTGTTTTAATAGGGGAACCCTCCCCCAAAAAAGGTGAGAGAAGGGCACTACTGGGGGACCTAGAAAAGATTTAAAAACATCCGCCGCTGAGTGAAGGCGCGGGATAGAAGACACGTCCAGTCGGAGGAAGGTCGCATGGCCGAAGCAGACATGGTCATAGGAAGGATCGGAGGCCTCTAAGCAACATACCCTCCCTCCCTCGAACATAGCAACTTACAGGGGGCTGTTTGTTGGAGGAAGGGTAGGTGTCTTTTTTGGTTAGTTTATTGAACCACCACGCAAACCAGGAATCGCCCCACCCATTTTTCAACTAAAAACAACCGAAGAGGACAGCTATGCTTTGCAGGAGCATCTGATCTCCGCCTTGATTTGGCTGTGGCTCAAAATGAAGGAGCTCAGTTACGCAGGTTTTAGTCCTTGGTTTCATTTGCCAAGAGGGTGATTTTGATACATTTACTTGAGCAACAGCCATTTCTGTGAAATCCGCACACCCCAAAAGGTTCTGTACCCGGACTCGGCCAAACATCAAGTTGCGGGAATCCATGCTCTGAGACAAACTCAGGCCGTGAAACGCGCGCCATGAAGAGACTTCGCATAGAATACGGGGCCATGGAAGATAATCCCTGCTGTGGAGAACGTGTTTTGCTGGGCCACAGTAAGAAAGCTGGGCTGCGTCTCTTCTACCTACCTCTAAGAAGGTTCAAGAAGCATGTTCGTCTGCTTGTGGGGAATTCATCACTGCATCACCCTGGTGGGCGACAACGACATTTTACATGCTGCTGCCTTGTGGCGTCGCATACCCAAAACTTGCCTCCCGGTCGCCGACAAAGAAACAAAAACAAACCAAGCCCTCCTGGTGGAGCAAGTCGAAAAGACGCCGGCCCTTCCGCTCGTTGCCGGAGCACAGCTGCACGCAGCCTCGAAGCAAACGGGACTGATCCGTTTTCCGTGTCAAAACTGGGGATACTTTTTTCAACAGCCCGTGGCTAGAAGCAAGAAAAGCATCGTTGGGGATTGTTTCTTGTGCATGGGGATTGCTTTACATGGCCTGGATTGTTTTTGTTTGAGTTCGTAATCGTATGGAGGTCGTTCAAACTTATCTGAAGACCGCAAGGAGTCCAGCATGCCCAATCCGAGCGGTTCTGCATCTGCTCAACGTGTGATCCAGGATATGGGTACGGTTCCGTGTTGGTTGTTTTGAAGGCAGACAAAAAGAACACCTGATTTCAGGCCGCCCGATTTACTATCCGCAATTCTGAAAGGTGTCCACAAGAATGTGCATCCCCGTCTGCTGCTGTAGATCCATTGCGTCGAACTCCCACAAATCCACGCCAATGGGGTGTCTTTTTCTGAGGGAACCCCTTTTTGGTTCGCGCCGGCGGGTACATAGTCACGCGTGTGGTTTTTTGCAAGTATGTGTGTTTGTTTTCTTCTGGGGTTTTGGGACTTCCTGGAAACTAACTCAGACCAGCTGAATCTCAGGTCGACATGTGCAGTTCTGGCTCAAGACAGCACGCATGGCAACTAGTAGGTGTGCTTATCATGTGCCAGCGTGCGTGCAGCTCTGACGTGATGCGCGTCAGCGGGTGTGCTTATCATGCGCCAGCGTGCCCGACGCGCGTGAGCGGATGTGCTTGTCATGTGCCACGGTGCGTGCAGCTCTGACGTCGTGCGCCTGAGCGGGTCTGCTTGTCATGCGCCAGCGCGCGTGCAGGCCTGACGTGACGCTGGTGAGCGTGAGGGGTGGAAGCCACTCCGACAAGCGGGTGGGTTCATATCCGGTACCTTTTTTGTTGGCTTCAAAGAACAACCAAAGGGAACACCACAATTTGTGGGGGGGTCGCCCAAAAAACACACGCAAACACATATACAAGTAAGGCAGTTTGAAGGCAATACATCTGCGTTTTTTTCTCTTCTGCTCAACTGGTGACATCTTCAGTCTTGTGCCGGGGAGCTGAAAAGCTGCCAAGATGCGCCCATGGGGCCTTCTGACAAGAGTCAAAAGCTAACATGCACTCTCGCATACCTAGTCTGCTAAACATTATCTGTACATCTGAATTTTAACCAGGTCCTGCCCTTTGGCTGACCTGACTCCAAAACCCATCACTGCCGCTCAGTACTTCAGGTGGAGAATGAACTGCCACTTCCTTGGTACCCAAATGTCCACTGCCTGAACAGCTTGGCAACTTTGTTGTTTGGCTTGGGCTTCCGAAAGAGCTTCCTCCTCAATGGAAAACTATACATTCCACCCTCCCCCTGGCCCACCAAGAACAAGTGAGGTCAGGAACCCAACCATCTCCGTTTCTCGTTGACTTTCCAAGCGTTGGTATGGTAGGACAAAAAAACATAGATTTGTTGTAGGCCCCCTACTAAACATGAACAGACCCAAAACAAGACAAAAACACAAAACACATGATCCAAGAACAGTGTCTTGGTCCTCCAGTAAAGAGGTTAGAATAAGGGTACCCTTTTTCTGTTGTCTATTTTAGTAGGGCAACCCTCCCAACCAAACAAGTTGGGTGAGAAAGGGCACCTAGATGGGGGACCGAGAACAGTGGAGTGGAAAAGCACGTCGAACCGGTCAGGCTCAAAGGCTTCCATTTGCTTAAGCCCTCTGAAAAAAGCATTTCCAGCAGTGATAGATTCCTTTTAAGACTAACCGGAAAAAATCAAAAACATCTTAAGCAAATGGAAGAAGGCCGAGCTTCCCCGCGCTGGTCTCCGCGCCGATCACCGTGGCGCCTAGGCCGTGAGTGTCGTAGGGGCCCCCGCTGTTGGAGCCTGGCGGGTCGCGCAAACGGAAGGTGTGTGCCCACTTCCAATTGCTTAAGCCCAAAATACAACTCCAGCAGTGATAAATAGCCCAAAAAACAACTCCAGCAGTGATAAATTAATTCTTCCAATGGCGAAAGAGCACAAAAAAAACAACTCCAGCAGTGATAAATTCATTCTTCCAATGGCTTGAGCACAAAAAAACAACTCCAGCAGTGATAACTAATTCTTCCAATTGCTTCAGCCCAAAAAAACTACTCCAGCAGTGATAAATTCATTCTTCGAATGGCTTACGCCCAACAACAACAAGTCAGCAGTGATAGATTCATTCTTCCAATGGCTTGAGCACAAAAACAACTCCAGCAGTGATAAATTCATTCTTGCCCAGAAAAAAAGAACTCCAGCAGTGATAAATTAATTCGTCCAATTGCTTCAGCCCAAAAAACAACTCCAGCAGTGAACAAATAATTGGTCCAATTGCTTCAGCCAGAAAAAAAACAACTCCAGCAGTGATAAATTCATTATTCCAATGGCTTAACTCCAGCAGTGATAAATTCATTCTTCCAATGGCATAAACCCAAAAAACAACTCCAGCAGTGATGAATTAATTGTTCCAATGGCTTGAGCACAAAAAAACAACTCCAGCAGTGATAATTAATTCTTCCAATTGCTTCAGCCCAAAACACAACTCCAGCAGTGATAAATTCATTATTTCAATGGCTTGAGCACAAAAAAACAACTCCAGCAGTGATAAATTAATTCGTCCAATTGCTTCAGCCCAAAAAACAACTCCAGCAGTGATAAATTAATTCTTCCAATGGCTTAAGCCCAACAACAACAAGTCAGCAGTGATAGATTCATTCTTCCAATGGCTTGAGCACAAAAACAACTCCAGCAGTGATAAATTCATTCTTGCCCAGAAAAAAAGAACTCCAGCAGTGATAAATTAATTCGTCCAATTGCTTCAGCCCAGAAAACAACTCCAGCAGTGAAAAAATAATTGGTCCAATTGCTTCAGCCAGAAAAAAAAAACTCCAGCAGTGATAAATTCATTCTTCCAATTGCTTAAGCCCAGAAAACAAACTCCAGCAGTGATAAATTCATTCTTCCAATTGCTTCAGCCCAAAAAAACAACTCCAGCAGTGATAAATTAATACTTGCCCAGAAAAAAACTCCAGCAGTGATAAATTAACTCTTCCAATTGCTTAAGCCCAAAAAATAACTGCAGCAGTGATAAATTAATTATTTCAATCTTCCAATTGCTTAAGCCCAAAAAAACAAATGTAGCAGTGATAAGTTCAAACCGACAGGGAACACTACCTAATATTCTTAGACAATGGAAGGTCCACTGTGTCAAAGGCTGAATGTATAGGTCCATATGTGAACCCATGGCAATTTTGGACCCCAACGCGGGTTGATTTCCCATAAGTTAAGCCGGAACTCACGATTAACTAACCCATAGGGTTCATATGGACGTATACATTCAGCCTTTGACTGTACGCAGTAAGTAAATGGTCATTGGCCCAGCTCTTGTGTTCCGAGATGATACATGGGCGACCTATGTCTGGCCCCGTCACGGATGCAACAAGTTCCTGACTACCCCTACGCAATTCTGTGACCTAAGTTACATACTTTGGATGGACAAAATGCTGCACCGTGGCTGGTTGGTATTTGCAGAGGAGTCATCATTTCGGGGATCCTTCGGTGGTGCAAAATTTCGTCCATCCACAGTATTCCCGCACACACGCACCGACGCTGATCACAAGAAAACCCGCACAAAGCAAGAGACGCAAAGGGCCTGTTGATGGAGGCCCTACGGCCCTGAATCAGTGAGCGCGCACCAGCCGAACATTTGGGCGTGTGTGCAAATGGAAACCAAGCCTGGCGTGGCGTTCTCATGTCATGGGTTTTTAAAGCTTTTCTGCAAGAGCTGATGAGGAATATGGGTCTGTCTGCATTTTTGGGGTGTTCTCTTTCTTTTGTGGTGAAGGAAAGCCAAAAGGAAAACCATCATTACATCATCTTGGGCGGGGACTTCCTGGTGGATGGTGCTCGCAAGAGAAACCCAAAAAAACACTGAGAACAATTCCCGGGAACAAGGGAGCTCCCCAACCAAACAAATGGTTACCTTTCAAAACAGCATAAAATACACCATTACACTCCGACAACCCAAAATACGTTATTACCCTCCGGAAAGGAACAATCCTTGAAAACAAAGACGTCCCGCCTTCGCCGGTGAGTAAGGGCTTCCAGCCCCACTTCTGCTGGCACTTGTCCAGCACGCAGCCCACTGCCCGGCCGAGGGATGAATCCAAGCTGCCCACATTAGATGTATCAATCTCGTTCGCCGCGAAGCCTAAGCAGTTGACGTCAGCTTGCAACGAAATCCGATGGTGCAAAGCACTAAACCAGCTTTAAGGGGGCTTTGTCATTGCCACCACAGGCTGGTCCTTGTGGCGCCCCTTTGTGGGGCCATAGCATACCTCCAAGAGGAAATGTGACTCTTTTAGGTAGGCCACACCAAAGGCTTGAAGCCCTGCCATTACATAAAAACGGGAATATGTGGGTGTGTCTGCGTGTTGAGGTACCCCTGCTTTGCTGGTTTCCAAAAGAAACCAAAAGGAACATCACCATTTAAGTGGGTCTAGACGAAGCCCATGTCTCACGCTTCTCTTTGGATCTCGACACGGCTCGGTTCGGTTCGGTTGACGCCCCAGCCGCAGGTCTCCGCGAAGTGGATGAGCTCCGCCTCCTGCGCCGCGCTGGCGTCCCCCCGGTGGAGGCTCGTCACCACCGGCGCGGCGGGCGCGGACGAACTGGCGCCGGAACTGGGGGCGCCGGAGCCCTTGGCCAAGGCGAACCTGAAAAAAAAACACGCGGAGTGAAGCGAATTGGTGTGACTTGTTTTTTTTAAATGGTACCCAAGTATACCCCCCCAAAAAATAATAATAATAAAGAGGGTTCCCTTTAAAGCCAACCAAAAGAGGGTTGCGGAACCGGGGAGTTGTCCCGCAGACTGACAGCCGGAAGCTCTCCCAATTGGCCACTTTAAATGGAACCAAGTCCGGAAAATACCCTCCCACCAATTAGGAACCTCTTTGAAAGGAAAATAGTCCAAGCCAGGACCCCCCGAAACGTCAGGTTCCATGTTAGTTGGGAGGGTAACAAAAGTTCTGGGAGCTTCCAAGTTTAGCCTCGAGAGAGTAAGTGAAACCATGTTTTTTGGTGTCCTTTCTTTTGTTACGGTGCCTCCAAAACGGTCGCAACGGTGTTCCTGTTGGTTTCCCTTTAAAGCCAACCAAAAACCAGGTGGCCCTAGAAAATGACAGGCCCAGATTCATCAAACCCAAAGGAAACTGCAATCATAGGCAAGGAACCGAAGGGGTGACATTGACATGATGTAACCCCTCTATGACCATTAGATAATAAGTATTAAAAACGCAAGTTGATCTGTTCCACCAAGCGCTCACCCTTGCACATTGTTGTGGAATACATGGACCCTGGTGCCAATTTCTCCCGCTGGAAAGTGAAGGTTTCCACAAGCCTATGAGTCAAATTCCGTCTTTGGCCACGGTGGAAAAACTCCAAACCTGAAATGGTTGGATTGGTGAATTCATCGATTCCCATCTACCGAGCCACTTGGGCACCAACAAAGAAGGGCAACCTCAGTTCCGGGGCACTGACCCCGGGCAGGTCTTCTTGCAAGATTTCGCCTCACAGGGCACCTGCTCCCTACCCTCATCTCCATCACCTGGGAGAAACGTGGGGCACCTCAGACACATTCTCCCTTCAGAGGGGAAATCTGGGGCCAACAAATATCGCTTCTTGCATCCTGCCAAGTCTCCCTCTCCCCCCATTTTTCACTTCCGAGCGACTTCCACTTGCCCGTTGGCGTGTTGACTCCAACCACCACCTTGCAGGGTTGGCCACGCGGATTTCGATGTCCAAATCAAAAGTTGATCAGTTCACTGGTGCACTTTTGTTGGTTCCAACAAAGGAAATGGCTCGGAAACCCAGAAGAACTCACGAGGTAAAGCGCCCTCTATATTTGTCAAACAAACGAACCAAAAAGGACACCGATGGGTGAAACCACCGACGTATCACGCGTTTAGACAACTAGGTCCTCCAGATTTCAAAGGATAGAATAAGGGCACCCCTTTTTTCTGTAGTCTATTTTAGTCCCAAAAAAAGTTGGCCTAGACAAGTTGGCTTCGCGCCACCCTGCCTTGCCATCACGGCCCTGGGTGTCGTAGGGCCCCCCGATGTCCCCGCCCCTCCCGAAGAGCTCGGGCTTCCAGCCCCAGCGCTGCTCCAGGTTATAGAGCACGCAATCCTGGCTGGGAGGGGTTTAAAGGGCGTAGAAATCGATGTTTTTTTGGGGCATGGGTCAAAATCCAAATCGTACCCCCAATAAAAACATCCCAATCCCAGCTAAAAGGGTGGTGCACCTACTCCAAAATGTAGCATTGGTTTTGACCCACCGCCTTTTCAGCCTGTTTTAAAGCTTGGTTGCTGTTGAACCCTCTGCAAACAGTTTTATTTTTTTTGTGGGTTTAGTGGAACACCCAACTTGACTTCCCAAAAAGTTAAAGTCTAAAGATCCGATTACTTTTATTAGCATTACTACTGCCACTGCTACTGCTAGTCATGCCACAGCTGCTATTGCTACTACAACTGCCACTGCTACTGCTGCTGCTACTGCTGCTACTGCAACTGCTTCTGCTACTGCTGCTACTACTGCATTCACATCACTACGAATACGTGGGTAAGCTCTACCCTTGGCAGGGTGGGTGCCTACGGCAAACCAATTATTTGAAGGTGACTCTTGCTCACGGAAGTCCCGCAAAACACTCATACTGGCCACCCCAAACAGGAAGCTCCGGCAACACTCAATCAAATGGAAACGCAATTTTGGTGAAAATTATTTCAAAGGGCTTCCCTATTCATATTGAACAAACATCTGTAAGATCATGGCAGGGGGGTTCCGCACAAGAATCAGCCATCCACGTTGACAATCCTTTGCCATCCGGAGGCCCCAGACACACAAACGGACGGACGGAGGACGCACAGGGGCAGAAAGGCAGGCAGGCAGACAAACAAACACAACGCCCCTCGTCCGCATGCGGTCGTCCTCTCTCACCAAAACACAAACACAAACACACAGACACAAATACACAATGACACAGAGGCATAGAGACACAGACACACAGACACACAGACACACAAACACCCAGACGCACAGACACACAAACACCCAGACACGCAGACACGCAGACACATAGACACACAAACACACTCACACACTCACACACAGACACACAGACACACAGACACACAGACACACAGACACACAGACACACAGACACACAGACACACAGACACACAGACACACAGACACCCAGACACACAGACACACAGACACACAGACACACAGACACACAGACACACAGACACACAGACACACAGACACACAGACACACAGACACAGACACACACACACACACACACCTCTACACACACACACCTCTACACACACACACCTACACACACACACCTACACACACACATACCTACACACACACACACCTACACACACACACACCTACACGCACACACCTACACACACACCTACACACCTACACACCTACACACCTACACACACACCCCTACACACACACACCTACACACACATACCTACACACACACACACAAACCTACACGCACACACCTACACACACACCTACACACCTACACACCTACACACCTACACACACACACACACCTACACACACACACACCTACACACACACATACCTACACACACACAGACCTACACGCACACACCTACACACACACCTACACACCTACACACCTACACACATACACACCTACACACACACACACCCACACACACACACATACCTACACACACACACACATGTATGCGCGACCGATTCACGGGGCCCGCTCTCCGTAGCGTCGGTCAGGGAGGTCTGAATGTCGCTGATGGTCTGCGTGGCGATGGGGTTCCAGGAAAAGCAGTCCTCGGCCACCTGAAAGGGGATCGATCCCTCAGGGGGCAGGGGGGGCATTTCACTCAATTCCAGTTATCTAGTATTCCATCCATGCAAAGCTCGACCAAAAAAAAGGGTCGCAAAACACGCGCAAACACACTCACAGACTCACAGACAAACCCAAAAATGGGTCTTCCATCATCCCCCCTACCTTAAGAGGGAGGGGAGTGGGGTGCCACAATTCCATTTCTTCAGTCTTCCAACCACAAAAGGGAAAATGGCTCACCCTCAATGGAGATCTCCAGGGGTCGAAATCCCCCCTCACCCAATTCCATGTTGAAGCGGGAGTTTGCTTCATTTTATTGTTTGCTTCATTTCGATTTGGCAAAAATGCTAAAATGTCTCCTAAGGCTCCAGTTAATATCCATATCCGGGTCTTCCATGCCACTCGGATCGCCTTCAGCACCTCGGCCTTCTGGGTGGCATCCGCCCAGCCCTGCAGGTGGCAGGTGGCGGTGACCGACTTCTTGGCCAAGAAGTCCTACCAGCGAAATGCTTTGCGACTTCCCTTCTAGAGGGCTTTTTTTTGAACCACCAGGTAAACCAGGAATTGCCCAACCAACTTTTCAACCAAATCAACCAAAAAGGACACCTATATGATGTCCGGTGAAATCGATTCGCAAAACCAACAAGGAAAACCAGAAAAGACGCATAACCAAACGGAAGGCGACGGAATGTGTTGGAGAGTTTGGACCCAATTTGCTACCATACTGTGGATGGTGACACGAAATCCTCAATCCTGCACCACCGTTAAGAGAAACCCATTCCTTTGTAAACTTGTTGTTTCAACAGCATCCTCACAGACCTCCTGGTCGCTCCGCAAGGCTCCCTTAAAGCAAATCTTCTGAGAGCCCCAGCTCCTAGCTCGCCTCGGCTCCCTTCAGACCAGCCAGTTTGGTTGACGGCAAACTAAGAAAACCCCACCCAGCTTCTCTCCCAAATCTGGCCATGGGTCAAAATCCAAATCGTACCCCCAAAACATCCCAATCCCCACTAAAAAATGGGTGGCGCACCTACCCTAAAATGGTACCATTGGTTTTGACCCGCAGCCCTATGGAGCCGCAGTGCTTGCGCCTCTCCTTGGCAAAGGCAGGGCTCAGGGCCGCAACGAGGGCCAGACGAAGCATGGCGGAATCCCAGGCAGCAACGAGGCTTGAGCCTAATAAGCTGCGCGCGCAAAGGTGTTTGGTTCAAAACGCCAACTTGAAATGGGCGGACGCCATTTCCAACAGGTCTCCTGCATTCCACAAGTTGTGCACTCACATGTTTCCGCTTTAAGGGCATGCATAAATCATTGCACGAGGTGTTGTCGCGCATGAATCACAAACACTATCTATGTTAAGTCTTTTAACAAAGAACAGCCCACGCTTTTTGAGCATGGCAAACATCCTTTCAAGACTGGAGCATTGTCAAGCATCTCTTACGTGTGCTATTCACCATTTCATCTAGCACCACTTTGCAAATACTCCTCTGGCTATCTGATCTAAGGGACTCCTTCCACAAGAGCACCAATCACGGGGATGGCACGGCCCATGCTGCTTGTGAACTCCGCCTCGCCCAACCCCAGTTTCTGTGCTCCGTGTTGACTTTGTGCCAAAGTGATGGTTCAAATTTACCCCAGCCCATTGCTTCGCTAGACTAACGTCACCCCCGTTCAGCGGTAGGTTGAAAGGACACCACCCGCCAATTTCTGACTTTGCGGCCCAGAAACAGTCTTAAGACTCACACCAGCGGCAACCCTAAAGCTAGCCAAAAGGAAACCGCGTCCTCCTTTCTGGTCGGCCGTTTTCATTTTTTTGGGGGGAAGCAAGTGCCTTGCGCTCACCCGCTAACCCCTCCTTGTGCTGGGGGGGGGGGGGGTTTGGTGGGTTTTGGTCGGGTTGGCCCAGCTGGGCTTCGGCCTTTGGATCGAAGCTTGGGCTTTTCAACCGGGGCTCCTTGGCTTGAGAACCTGCACATGAGTCACAACAGGGACCCGGATGCATCAAAAACACCGGAACATTGCAACTTGCAAATGGTGGTTTCAACCTTTATGTTTGGTGTTGAAAAAGCAAGATGATTCAAATGGTTGCAAAATGGAGATCTTTTAAGGAGCCCTGCACAATCAAAACCGATGGGTACAAACATGGTGAACCCAGAACTTCCAGAACCATGCTCCAAGAATTAAGGCGGATCTCCGCAGCTATTTATGGCAAGGGGATTCGCCCTTACCCGCCAATTACCCGGGTTTTGAGCACGTGGCTGACATGGACTTGTGCTACCCCCTGCCTTGTGCTGGGGTTTTTCGGTCGCCCTTTCGGTTGCCCCAGCCAGCGGAAAGGCAGGAGATCGAAATCGGTTGGGTCGCGGCAGTTGGGTCGCCGGGCGGTTCTCGGTGAGCCGCACCAACATCTGCCCCGTGCAGCTGGAGGGCAAGGCCTCCGCGGCGTCCCGGAACTGGCCGCCTCAGCGACAAGCTGAAGTCGCGGACCTTATTCCGGAGACTGGTGGAAGGCTTGGTGTGGCTTATGGTTTTGTTTCATGGGGCCAGGGAGGGAGGGAGGGAGGGAGGGAGGAGGAGGAGGGAGGGGGAGGGAGGGAGGGGGAGGGGGGAGGGGAGGAGGGAGGAGGAGGGAGGGAGGGAGGGAGGGAGGGAGGGAGGGAGGGAGGGAGGGAGGGAGGGGAGGGAGGGAGGAGGAGGGAGGGAGGGAGGGAGGGGGAGGAGGGAGGGAGGGAGGGAGGGAGGGAGGGGAGGGAGGGAGGGAGGGAGGGAGGGAGGGGAGGGAGGGAGGGGGAGGGAGGGAGGAGGGAGGGAGGAGGGAGGGAGGGAGGGAGGGGGAGGGGAGGGAGGGAGGGAGGGAGGGGAGGGAGGGAGGGGGAGGGAGGGAAGGGAGGGGGAGGGAGGGGGAGGGAGGGGGAGGAGAGTAGGCGAGGGGAGGGGGGAGGGAGCCCAACCTGGCTCTTCTCCAGCAAACAATGAAAAACGACACCTTATACCGTACCCAAAAAGGCTTGTCTCCAAGATTCGAAATATGACCCCGCCCCCTTTGGTTTCCTTTACGCAGCAGCCCGGCACGATAAAAAAAGACACACTCGTGTGGTTGAATGAAGGCATGGTCACTTGTAGGCTATATGTTTTCTTTTTTTTCTGAGTTACAAAGTCCAACATGGCGGTCGAAGGCTGCATGGTCGGAAATAATTCCTTGCCGGGCGAAGTTCAAAGAAACTGCGATGTCCCCTGTCCAAATTGGCCGTGTCTCCGGCTGGATCTTCGACAGATTGCAGCCCAGACGCCGTTTAAGCCACACAGCCACTCTGAGACCTGCGAAGGAGGTCACTGCCTACTTACGGTGCACGCTTGATTGCTTTAAACGGACACCTCCCTGGCAAAAAGCAAAAGGGGTCGGGCAATTGGGCCTATAACAATAACGATCCAAAAAGGAAGTCGTAGCTCCACGTTGTGTCTGCAGCTGCACCTCATTGATTGGGCCACTGGATCTGCATGGAAGGAAAAGGTACACGGCTATGCCGCATACTGTTTGCGCATATCTATATAACCCTGGCTGCCCAGTTCTCCTGCAAAGGGGCACTGGTTAGACTGCTCCCATGTTCACTACGGATTCCCTGGCCGCAATAGCCAATGTCACGTATCGGACTCGCAGATTGCAAGCCGAGTACATTCGGAAATGTTGGCGTGGCTTGAAGGCCGCCAAACTATTGACTAGCAACTGAGCAGTATCTGGGATACATATTTTGGTGTGATGGGATCATAAGAGAGATAGGCGGAATTGTCTGTACGTGCCGATCAGCACTCGTAAACAGGTGATCCTAGACTCTCAAAACTTGATGGTTCGATAGGCGGGGAAGGGGAAATGGAATGAAACGAGAAAAAACCATCCATCCGAGCTGATTTCCTTTAAGGGAATCTCCAAACGGTTCGTTCCCAACACCCGGACTCGGTCTTTCCCCACCTATCGCACCAGCAAAAAAAAAATGTTCCGATCCTTGGCTCAGCTGCCCAACGGACCTAAAAATAAAAGGTTAACCTTTTGGGGCCATGGCCAAAAATGAACCAACACGGGAAATTTACGAGGTCCAACGGTCGACTCGCTTTGGACCAGTGAGTTGGTCGCCACCAACATGGCTCACCGATGTTTGAGGTCCGGCTCGCCGAGATCGAAGGGTTTCAATGTTCGAAAGTAGAACACCGCCTCGCCAAGATGGCACCCTGGTAAATGGAAACAATGACTAACAACTGTGGTCCATATGTGGTGTAATCTTGACCCATATCCAAATGGGTCAACGGGCCTGCCCAACTTGGGTCGACGAATTGCCGGCCCAGACACGGAAACCTCCGTACCCAGGGTGGCAACCTTAGGGCTCTCGACCCGTCTAAACGGGCGGGGTCTCATAAGGACAATCAACAAGGTGTGTACGAAATCCCACCTGTTAGAACACCCCAGCTGTTGGAACCCCCCAAAAAAAGACGGGGACGGCAAGTGATCATTTAAAAAATGTGTGGATTCGCAGGTGTTTCAATTGGCCGCACAATGGCTGGTTTCCCTTGAAACCACCCGAAAGGGCCCGAAAAAGTTGGTCCCCAAGAGGAGTTTCCCTTTCCCTGCCTGCTCGGGGGTCCACTGCTTGGGGTGCGCCACCCGCCGCTTCTTTTGCAGCTCTACCCCCTGCTTCTGCTCGTGCTCGGAGCGGCCTCCGAGCTAAATGGATGGCCGTCCTACTGAATGGCAGCCATCTGACGCACGTTTGTCGTTAGCTCCAGAGGCAGCTGGCGCTTCTGCCACAAGTCAGGATGTCCAAATCATACGCAATCCATGCGACAAAGCCGACTCAGTGGCTCCAAGTTGGTGCGCTGCAAACAGCACCCATGTAATGCACATGGCACCAGTTGCAATAGACTGGTTTGTCAAGTGTTTGCACCAGCTGCCCTCCTCCCAAACCAGCCCAGCGTATTGCCGGTAACGTGGCACACCAAGGGAATGGGTCTGTCCTTTTTTTTTTTCGGGGACCCACCCATGGTGTTCCTTTTGGCTTCCCTTTCAGCCCACCGACAAGGGGTATCAACTCCAAGAAAGACACAGCCGAATGGGAAATCAAGTTTTCAGGTCAAAGGCGTCTAGAATCCCGGGTTCTATCAGGGCTCGCTGGGGTTCCCCAGTTCCCCAAATCAAATGTTGATCAAATTACTGGTGGTTTCCCATCGAAACGATCCCCACTTTTGGTGGTCCAACAAAGCTTGCTGGTGCTTAGGGAATGTGGGAATGAACCCAGGATGGTTGAAAAGGGTCTTGCCATTTCTCATTCCCTGCAAGAAAGGGAAATGAGTCACAATCAAACCCCGTTATTAAAATGGTCTACCCAGAACCTGCCATGTAAAGAATGAAGAAGGCGGCCGCAGCTATTTCTGGCTGGGACTGTCCCTTACTAACCTTCATCTACCCGGGTTTTGATTGTGGCTCAAATGGACATGGCTCGGAAACCCCGAAAAGCTTCGACCGGTTCACCTGAGTTGCGCCTGCCAGTGCCGCGCCCATACGTAGGGTGGAGATCGTGTGCTCCGTGTCCGTAGCGCAGGGCGAGGCAGTACAAACCACCGCCTCGGGCGCATCACTTGGGCGGTCCATTTTCAGATCCCCTGCTAAAAGTCACTACAAGGTATAGTGGGTGAAATACTGAAACCCAACCACCAAACCCTAAAAAAGCCAAAAAAAAAGGATGCGGTTCAGATGATCCCTGGGGTTCAAACCACCATTTAAAAAAATGGCTGGGTTCACATTTCACCACCATGGTTTACCTAAGGATGGTCATCATCCAAATTGGGTCCTGGCCATTCTTTTAATGGGGGCTGAACCCTAGGGAGATCCTGGCTAAAAGTGACTACCCTTCCTCCCACGTTTCTCCGATTTGTGGGAGGGGTACCTGGAAGATCAGTTTGCTCTTGGAGGAACCTCTATGAGGTGCCATGTTAGTGGGAGAGAGGAAACGGAACCCCAACCACTAAACCCGAAAATGGTAAAAGCTGAGGAACCGGATGGCTGGGAGCCACCAAGCTTGGCCGAAGATGTCAAAGCCAGAAATGGCCCAAGGATCCGTCCTTTGGGGAAGCGACCTGTTGAAGACCTTAGAGTAAAAAACATATGCAGTGAAGATGTCCCTTTTGAAACGAATCGGATGCTGTGCTCTAACGCTTTGAGCCTCCTCGGCGCAGACACGCATTTCGCTCGAAAAGTGCTTCTTTTGGTTTCACTTTACCGGGCAAAGTGAGGTTTAACTCCTGCAGGACCCTCAATCATGGGGATTCTGATTCGTAACCCGCAGGTGGTTGGAACCTATGCCCCAGGGTTCACACCCCATTAAAAGAATGGTTGACCCAATTTGGATGATGATTATATGAACCCCCACTGTTTTAATGGTGATTTGAACCCCAGGGTATGGTATTGGTTTGTGGTGAATTCGCCTTTCCATGGCAACCAAAGCCGGTCCATTTGAAATGCATGTCTCATTTGGAGCTTGGGCGGACAGAGTCGGGCGTCGCAGCTTTTCTAGGGGTTGATTCCTTGTCCATTCTTTTCAACCATCGTCGATCGTTCTTTCCCAAAACCGGCCCTTTTTCCCTCGGTTTCCGGAGGTTTTCTAGAAAGAAGGATCCCCGGAAAGAATGAGGAAGGTATCTCTAGAGCTTTAGAGCCGCGACTCGGCGCGCATTTGTGCTGCCGCGGGGCGAGGCTCGTCTCCTTGCCCCGAAAGGCCTCCGCCAGCACTTTTGTCAGTGAGGAGGCTCGATAGGCATGGCCTGCAGAGCATGGCAAGGGGCATAATTCTGGATCAAAAACAAATTAAACAGGTAGCATAGTAGTCGTAGCAGTAGTAGTAGCAGTAGTAGTAGTAGTAGTCGTAGTAGTAGTAGTAGTAGTAGTAGTAGTAGTAGTCGTAGTAGTCGTAGTAGTAGTCGTAGTAGTAGTAGTAGTAGTAGTAGTACCCAAAGGATCCAAGTGAGAAAATAGACACAACTCAGCTTCAAACCACCAAAATCAAGCACCTTTTGCTGAGAGTGGACTTGGGAGGCCAAGTATGCTCTCAGAAGATCTTTGAGGGCTTGCAGCCATTTGGGCTTACACTAGGCTGGCATCAGCTCGAGCATGCAGGCTTTTTACTTCGGATGCCGGCCGCGCGAGGCAGATGGTGCACCCATCCTGCCCTGCAATGCGTGCAAGCTATGTTTGTGCGTGCGTTGTTGGGCATGTGCATGCACCTGATCATTCTGAACAGTGGATTTGAGATCGATCATAAACACTGCATGCATCGATGCATTGCGATGCATTCGCCCGACCGGGCCCGGAGCGTCCCTTGCTCAAGCACCACGGTTGATCCTGCGCCAGGGCAGGAATGGTTAGGATTCAAGTGAAAGATGCGGGTGATGGCAAGCAGGTGCTCACGCCACTCAAGTTCTTGGTGTCAGCAACTGTTTTGCAAATAGCTATGCCGCATGCGTTGGACCCTCCGGAATTGACTTTGACTTGACACATGATCACGTATAAGGCAGAGGCCCTGGAAATCTATGATGCGATCTTGCCGGCTGTCTCTGCTCAGCTGGTCGCTATCCGCAACAGCCAAGATGCTAGGCGTAAGCTAGTGCCACACTAGCTATAGCTTGTACTGAAAGTTCCAGCAAGTGCTCCATGCATGCATGGTCATGGCAACTTGTGGCAACTTGCCAATCCAGCCTGCTAGCTAAGGACATGTCAGTGGTCAACCTTGAAGCAGCGCAACTAAAGGTGCAAGACATTTTATGTTTCACAGTGCATGGTGCCAAAACCACCCTAGCTGTGCTAGCCTGTGCGCAACTCTCGGCCCTGGTGCAGGTGCGGGAGGATGACCTTATCCGGAACTATGAGATCATGAAGGTGTACACAGTGCAATTCGCTGGCCGTCCTTTGCCCACTGTCCGGGAGCATAAAGTTGCTTGGCTTGCTAGTGGGGCTGGTGAATGCACGAAACAATTGGAGCTATTACAAGATTAGCCATGTGGTCAGAACTAGCGCTTAGGGTTAATGCACTAGGTGGCAATGCTGTATTTGGCTCTTTCGCACCACCTTTACCTGGACTCTGATGCGGTGAAGAGGGGGTGGAAAGGGAAGATGAAGGATCTTGACCTGCTGCATGCATGAGCTCATATATAGCTGAATGGTTGTGGGATCAGTGTTGCAGGAGTGGGCAGCTCTGCATGGAGCTCGACTGCGGAGCTTGGCTTCCTACCTTGGCCGGGTGTGCTGCCGCACTGCCAGTGCGAGGCTTCTTGGTTGCTATTTCAATTTTGCCATGACCATTGCTGAACCCGAAGCCTTGTTGCAAAACATAATTGCAAGCAATTGAAGCACGTATATACCTGCATCATATCAAAAAGTATCCCCCCCCTCCCCGCCCCGGATCAGCCCGTATTGCCTGTCCTGGGTTCTTCACCCCGTGGGTGGTGCTCAGGAGTATGGAGACCTCGGTGCTCAAGCGGCTCTACTTGCAGATCAAAGGCAGCCGCGATCCATGTGGGGGTGAGGCTGACAATCATGAGGAAGCCACAGCCATCTTCAAGCAGTGTGAATTCTTGCACTTTTTGTATTTGAGCTTAAGCGTCAGCCACTGCAACAGCTTATGATCCCTGACAGGAGGGTGGCTCCCGAGAATCCCTTGACATTGAGTTTGAAAATCCGGATGATGTGGATACTGGAATTGAGAGTGGAGATGAAGAGGTGACTTTCCAGGAGCTACCATGTGCGTATGATCAGGGACATACTCCAAACAAAAAACCCAACACAAAAAGGGGCAAGCATTGCCAGCATGCATTTGATGTGGGTGCAGGAATCGCAAGCTCCTGATCTGGGTTCCCATCATGAAGCGCCGGTGAAGGATAAGACCTGCATCTTGTTTCCAGACCACTGGCCATGCGGATAAAACGTTCAAACAATTGGCGTCGGTTGGATCTGCCTGCAGGACTCACAAGCTCATGATCTGGGTCCCCACGATGAAGCGCCAGCTGAGGATTGGCCATTTCCAAACATTTCCAGAACATTTGCCATGGGACCTGTAAAGGCATGGGTTTGATATTCCTGCAGGACTCGCAAACTCCTGACTTGGCTCCCCATGATGAAGCGAAGAGCGCTGAGGACAGCTTATTTCCAAATAAATTCCAAACCATTGGCTAAAACGTTCAAAGCATCTAGTGAGTTTGATTCGTTGCAGGACTTGCAGCCTCCTGATCTTGCTCCCCATGCGCCTGATCTCACTGAGAACCCAGCGCATGCTGATAGTGGCAACGGTGGTGCCTTCAAGGAGCGAAGGTGTGGGAATCACCCGGTGCACATGTGCATATAGCTATATGATGATTTGAAGAGGCATGCACGTGTGTCAGTATTTGTGGTGCTAGGATCGAGCCCCGCTTCTCCCAGCTGCCAGCTATGACCTGTTTCCGATGCAACTCTTGGCCACCCCTCAATCCTACAATGGGTTGATTGACGACCAAGCCAAATTGCGCAAGACCATACGTCAGGACTTTGTGTGTGTGTGCTATTTTCTTGAACACATGCGTATGCTTTGAGACGTCACATATGCTTTTAGCAGGGGTGTGCTGTAGTGTGGCTGTGCTAGGAGACTGCTGAGCGCACTGCGGCGAATGGTGGCCGAGGACGGGGCAAAGGCCGTGGAAAAGGTCGTGGGTCCAGAGGAGGCAAGCTCATGAAGAAGCCGGCAGCGAAAAGGACTCGGGAGGAAGCAGGTGGGATATTGTAGTGCGTGAGCGTGATGATGACAGCACTAGTGATGGGCGAGTATGAGTGTGAGGGTACGCATGCTGTAGGTGATGCAGATGAGGCAGATGAGGCAGTGGCAGATGAAGTGTCGCAGCATGTGTGCGCTGCCGGCTCTGCGCCTACACCCAGTCAGCCATCACGCCCGGCAAGGAAAGCAGCTGCAAGCAAGAAAGCAGCAGCAAGCAAGAAAGCAGCAGCAAAGCCCAAGCTTGCGCGCAAGCGGACTACGGACAACGCGGCAGGCGCAAGTGACGAGCAGCAGGAAACAGACAAGCGGACACTGAAAAGGCAGCAGTCGGACAGCTGCTGGACGCAAGCCAAGAAACACGAAAATGCAAAAGAGGCGCGCCAGGTCAAAGCAAACGAAGCCCTTGCAGATCTGAGATCCCTCAACATTCCTGAGCTCAGCCCAGAACCAAACTTCAGCAAGAAGAAGCTTAAGATGCACAGAACTAGTTCGTGCTTGTGTGTGTGTGACCATGCAGTGTGTACACTCATGGGGATACTGAAACAATTCAATTCATTTGGAGTGGTGTCGGATGTGTGTGTGTGTGTTTGGTGCATCTGAGGAGCTTCACCGTGCACCCGGAGGGCTTCAGTGCAAATCTCAACGCCAAGAGCATCGGCGTGATCCTTTATACGAGGAGCTTCTATGTGCACAAAGCTCTTTGCGTCGATGACACGCACAAGGCGTGCGCATGCAAACGAATATATGCAAAGTTGGTGTGAATCAGCAACATGAGCTCTTAAACTGCATTTGTGGGAGGTTGACAATCTCAATGGGGCGACGCTCAACTGGTCCAAGTTTCGATCGGTCCACGATGCGTGGCTTGGTTGCACAACCGCTTGAGCAATTATACATTTGTGATCAGTTTGATTGCACTCAACGGCCGGTTCTAGTGCAAGGTGGTCCACAGCAAAAACGATGGCTGGGTGGTGCTAGAGTTGAAGGCCGGCTTTGTGCACAGCATGGACTCCATTCTGTTAACATATGTATATAGACTCAGACCCTTTTTTTCCCATTCCCCTGTCCAGGCCTAGCTGCCGATCAAGACGATCGAGTTCCTGATATCGTGGCGTTTGGCCTGGCGAGGAGCGTGGATGGGTGTCGGGGCATGCTTGGATTTCCAAATCATTGGGGGATCCCGGAGATGATGTGCAATTTCACATCCATGGGTGCTCTGTGCCACGTCAGTTGAATTGATGGTGCAACACTAGTTGTTTAGATTCAGGGATCGAGAGAAACTTTGCAGCTATGCTGATACTGTGTGCTGAAGTGGCCAGCACCCTTGAATCTGGGATGAAATTTGGATTGCCCAAATGCCGCTGATCAGTGCTCAGTTTTTTGCCCGTACAGACTTGTTTGAAGGGGTCATGTCATGACATCAAATTTGAGACCACGCAATAACAACGAACTCCACTATGCAAAGACATATGTTGACCTCATTTTCGCATCAAGTAAGTTAAACTCTGCAGCGGGTCCCTTGCCTCTACCCCCCTTCCCCAAAGCACCCTATGTTTATTTGTTATAGACTCACAAATGGCTTGTGCTTCGATTCTGGTCATAGGAAAATCAAGGTAAAGCGTGTCTCTTTTTGCAAATGTTGAATGTCCACGATGGAACCCTGCGGACCATTCAATCTGACTCTGATCAGCACGGCATGGGCCTTGAAGGTAGTGAGGATGTCGACTGCGCGCGGCTGTGGGGGAAACATGCTTTCGAATGTTGACACTGCAAAATATAGCACCGTACCCTAGGGTGGGCCAATTTTGATGTGGCTTTATGATGGCTAACTTTGTGTACTGCACCGGTGAATTGCATTCGGGGGAATACACACATGACCTACATGTCAAAGGTGATTATTTGGCGAGGGGCTGTGGAAATAGCAGCTTGCAGCTGGTCTGTGTGCTTCTGATTTGACAACTGGTACAGTTGCTGCCAACCCTTGTGAAATCCATTTTGGCATGTGGCACGTGGTCACATCATGAGATC